TTCTTAAGCAGTACCAATGACTCCAGAAAATGGAGCGCGAATTTGTTTTAGTAACGGGACGCGAACCATGGATTCGCAAATGTTTATATAATACCTGGTGCTCAGTGTTATAAAAATGTGTTTTGTAGTGTATATTAGAAAGATCTTTCTATGAGAAAACAGGCATTTTGACTATCAAAAACACGTGGAATGTTTGTTCGAATTTCAAGTAAACTATTAGCGATATAATATTTTATAAATTTTTACAATTCTGGAACAAAATTTATGTTTCTTTTCTGAGCTGAAATTTTTATTCATCATTAAAAATATTTGTGTTTTTTTCTTACGTTTTAAAATTGCTGTATAAGCTCAAGTACATAAAAGTTTAAATATAATACTTTAAAATCAGTACTTGAAATTATTCTGGTTAATTATTAGTAATTACGTAAATATAGTCATCATATAGTAAAATATATGAGTAATATTTATTTCAGTGATCGGTCTTCATTACGTATTAAATAATTCATTTCCGCTCAAACACCGTTTATTTTCTAGTACAGTCAAAATCAAATTAAAGGCAATAAACTCAGATTCTTCGGGAACAAAATCAAATCGGTAGCAATAAGCTCAGATTCTACTGAAACAAGATAAGTTTGTTGCAATGAAGTCACATTCTAGTGGAGCAAAATATAATTTGAACAATCAACTTGTGTTTTACTGGAACAAAATACAATTTGTAACATTCAACTCACATTGTAGTGAAACAATATAATCTTTGTATTCATCAAAACACATTGTAGCGAACTAAGATAAAATTTAGAACAATAATGTTGATAGCTGTTGTCTTTAGTCTTAACTAAAGTTCTATTATAATGCTTGTAATGTTATAACTAGAGTTTAACGTGAATGTCTATCTTTCGCTGTCATACTAAAGTTTGATTAGAATGTTTGTCAGATCTAATTGTCATAACGGTAGTTTTATGTGAATGTTTTCAGCTCTAGATATTATAGCTACAGTTTAACGTGAATGTCTATCTTTAGCTGTCATACTAAAGATTGATTAGAATGTTTGTCAGATCTAATTGTCATAACGGTAGTTTTATGTGAATGTTTTCAGCTCTAGATATTATAGCTACAGTTTAACGTGAATGTCTATCTTTAGCTGTCATACTAAAGTTTGATTAGAATGTTTGTCAGATCTAATTGTCATAACGGTAGTTTTATGTGAACGTTTCCAGCTCTAAATGTTATAACTACAGTTTAACGTGAATGTTTGTTTGATAGGTGACATATGTATGTGTTTGCTAACTCTCAATGTTATAGCTACAGATCAGTGAAAAAGAAGCCCTTGTCATATTTGCCTATAGTATTATAAGCACTGGTGGCTTGCTCTGTGTTATATTGAGTTGTTAAAAAGTTTTATAACTATTGTCATGATATAAAAGACTGTTTAGTGTAGACTACAAAGAAGGCAACTAGTCAATACTACTCACTGTCAACTCTTGGGCTACTCCTTTGCCAATGACTAGTGGGATTGATCACCGCATTATAATGCCCCAACGGCTAAAAGGATGAGCATGTTTGGTGAAGGGATTTGAACCCGCAGATTGCGAATTGAATGTCCTAAATACCAGGCCATCAGAATTCTATTTTATTTTAAGCAAAATAATGCAACTCTTGAGAACAGTGTTGAAATGTTTCTATTATTGGGTGGGTTCTTAGGAATTATTTAGTAAAAACAATAATGTAAATTGCAGTCCACTTACTGATAACGAAATCGTTTTACTTCTTCGATTACAATCAATACATCTTAGTTTAACAAGTTTTCGCTGAAAGGACTAATTTGAAAGTAGTCGCTAACAAAACAATTTCATTTAATAATTACTCCCGCTCTACATAACCTACGATTTATCTCTTATTACTTCGCCGAGAACACTAACTTAATATTCCAAAACTGAACTAACTAACTGACTAAGAAATTCAGTTTAATAATTCACTACTTGAAACTCAATGTAGCATACTAAAAGACTAAAAAAATAAGTCATCATATATTCTAGCCTAATTCGCATTTTATATTTCTTAGAAAGTTTTACGCCTTATAATCGAATTTTATCCGATGTCTACACGACCAGTTTCTGGCTGTGGCCTATTTTTCAAGGTTATCTGACGTCTACGTGAACATTTACTGGTCTTATCCTATTGTCGAATCGTATCCGATGTCTACTATCTGTATCGTCTTGTTGAAGTTTATCCAATGTCTACATGTTAGTTAGTGACCGTATTGATCATACTGTTTAAGTTTATATGACGTTTACAAGAACAATTAGGTACAGACCACAATGTATAATTTAATTTCATCTGATGTCTAATTAAACTGTTCCTGGCCATAAACTATTGTTGAATTTAACCGAAGTCTAAACGAACTGTTCCTGGCCGTATTCCATCCTTGACATTTATCCAACGCCCACATGATGAGAGATTAGAGAATTTCATCCATTGTGGATATCATAGATAATATGCAGATGCCAGAGCGACTATAAAATTAATCGAAGATAACTGAAATTAATACATGTTAGAAATCTAAAACAGTTACTTATGGTTCTGCAAATGTTAAAATTTGTATGGCATTGTTAAAGATTATATAATGTCAGTTTCAGAAGTAATAGATTGTATCGTACTTTGAACGTTATTCAGAACACAGAGTTTTACCAACTTTATAAAAAGCATAATTTTCTCTGTTATCATCTTGAGATTGTTCAGTAGAAAGTGTTTTATCCGCTTTATCCAAAAGTCCTGTTGGCTGTTTTATTCTGAAAAGCTGCTCAGAACAATGTCTTTTTACCAAATTTATCCATCAGTTTTGTTGGCTTATTATCCTGAGAAAGTTACTGCTCAGACACGGTATTTAATCAACATTATCCATCAGTAAGGTTCGGTATGCTATCAAGACAAGTTGGTGCACATAAAGCAGAGTTTTAGGAATTCTATATACACATTCTGATTATTGTGTTATTCTTAGAATATTACTTCTTAGATCAATGATCTTACGAGCTTAATCCATTAGTTATGATGTCTGTGTTATCTTAAGAAGATTAGTGCTTAAAACGATGTGTTTTACCAATATTATCCATCTACAAGAATGTGTATGTTATTGTCATTCAGAACGCAGAGTTTTACCAACTTTATCTAACAGATATGGAGGCTATATTGTCTAAGAATGGTATTACTTTGAACACAGTGTTTTACTAGTTTTATTCATCAATTATGTTGTCTGTATTATCTTGAAAATGTTACTGCTCAGAAAATGGTGGGCTTTACTAAATTTATCCTACAGATATGTTGGCTATGTTATCCTGATAGGGTTAATGATAAGAGCAAAGTGTTTTGCCATCTTCATTATCATTTCTGTTGACTATATGATCTTGCAAAGCTTATTGCTTTGAACCCAGTGTATTTATGAACTTTATCCATCAGTTACGTTGGCTGTTTTATCCTGAGAAGATTGGTAAGAACATAGTGTTTTGCCAATTTTTTCTATCAGTTATTTTGGCTGGGTTATCAAGTGAAGGGTGCTCAGAACATAGTGTAGTGCCAGCATGACCAAAAAGGTAGGTTGGGTGTGTTATCCTGAGAAAGTTGCTTAGAATACGATGTTTTAGCAACTTTATCAGTCAGTTATGTTGGCTGTGTTATCCTAAGAATGTTGTTCAGATCATAGTCTTTATGTTTTACGAACTATCAATCAGTAAGGTTAAATGTGTATTCTAGAAAGGTTACTGGTCAGAATATTGTTACCAACTTTATCCAGAAGGTAGATTTGTTGTGATACCCTGAGAAGGTTACTGCTCAGGATACAGTGTTTCTTCAATTTATCAACGAATTGTGTTGGCTGTATTTTACCTACGCTATCCAACAGTTATGATGGCCCCCCAGTGGCACAGCGGTATGTCTGCGGACTTACAACGCTAGAAACCAGGTTTCGATACCCGTGGCGGGCAGAGCACAGATAGCCCTTGTGCAGCTTTGTGCATTATTAAAAACAAACAAACAGTTATGATGAGGGTGTTATCCTAACAAGGCTGCACAGTGTTTTACCAGCTTTTGCTAGAATATAGTGTTTTAGCAACTTTATCTATTACTTAATTTGATTGTGTTATTTTTAGAAGGTTCCTACGAACATAATGTTTTACAAACTTTACCAATCAGTAAGGTTGGATGTATTATCCTCAGAAGGTTACTGGTTAGAACAATATTAAATTGTTATACTGTTTTACGTATGGTGAAGTATTTATTTATTTTCGTTGTTGTTCGGCGAATCGAACCCCACAGTTTAGTGTTGTAAAAACTTAAACTTACCGCTGATCCACCAGGATACACAATCGTTAATTTGCTTGTTATGGATTTCGCGCAAAGCTACACGAGGGCTATCTGTGCTAGCCGTCCCTAATTTAGCTGTGTAAGACTAGAGGGAAGGCAGCTAGTCATCACCACCCACCACCAACTCTTGGGCTACACTTTTAGCAACGAATAGTGGGATTGACCGTTACATTATAACGCCCCCACGGCTGAAAGGGCGAGCATGTTTGGTGGGACGGGGATTCGAACCCGCGACCCGCAGATTGCGAGTCGAGGTGCCCTAACCACCTGGACATGCCGGGCCTTAATCGTTAGTAATCCATAAAAATTTGCTTTGTTTTATAAAATTATATATATTACGTATATCGAACTAATACTATATACTAATATAACTAATTTTAAAGTGATGAATATATATATATATACATAACGTATACTGGAATAATACATTTTAATGCAATGAAACTATATACTATATATATTACGTACATGGAACCAATATATTTTAAAGTAATGAAACTATATATATATATGTGTATACATATTACGTATATTAATACATTCTAAGTGATTTTGTTTCAACTGTAGGTGGAACGGTTGTTTTTATGTCAGTTCCCAAAGAGATAAGTTGTGTTAAAATAGTGAAAAAATAAAAAAAAGCTTACTTGTATTTTGTTCAAATCTATGTAAGTTCTGTTATTTGATTCTGGGAACACAATAGCCTCGTCATCAGCGTAAATTCCGGTCAAAATGAGGACAAGCAGCGCTGGTAAAACCGAAAAATACATGAGCATTCACAATCACAACGAACGTTCGCAGTATGTAGTACAAAAGCTCGTTAGCTCTATAATAACGTTGATTGCCTAATTCAGCTGTTTCCACTTGAGTGAACGTAGGTCGTGCTTAATTCCTCTACCTGTACAAGCAAAAGAAGCTTGGGCTTTTCAAGGACTGGTTGGACTGTTTAATTAAACTTGCCAACTAAAACCCAGATAGATTCGTTGGTTTATATAATCTCAAACTCATTTAACTGGTGCACATGTCCTCGAAGAGGACTGTTAATAGTACGTCACTTTCCAACCGGAAATGACATCATTTCACCATCGTCAAGGGTGTTAAATATCATCAACAGTGACATTTGTAATTCTATGAGCATTTCAGAATTAAAGAAAAAAGTAACCTCTTAACAGAAAATAAGGGATAGCCAGGCCATAAGTATTTTAGTATTTGTAAATATTTAAATCTGTTTGGATAACTGGTCAAGAAATTAGTTAATTTTTGTTATTTAGAAAATTTCTTTCTTGTAGTAGTTGTACTGCCGAAGACGGCTGGGAGTTGTAGCCCATGTTATTAAAACAGACAATTCTAAAAATCTGTATTGTTTTTAGCTGGAAAATCAGAAGGAAGTTTAACCTAATCTGATAGGAGTGCCGTTAATATATGAAACTGTACGTAAAGCGTAGGAAATAATTTGAGTACACATAGAAATAGACTAGAGTTAGGTGTTAATTACTGAGCTGAAAGTGAAACTTTCTTCAATGTTTAAAAACAATTTCAGCCATATGCAAAAATCGAGTTAGGCTAAACCAATGGTACGAATTATTGAGTTGGAACTTTTTCAAAAGTTAATAGATTATTTGAACAGTACATAAAAATCGAGCTTGGTGTGAGTTATTGAGCTAAAACTTTCTCCAAAGTTTAAGAACCAATTTAAGTCATATATTAAAACAAGTTAGGCTAGAGTTAGGTTAAGTGTGCGTTATCAGGTTGGAACTTTCTTCAAAGTTTAGAAAAAAAACAACTCATATATAAAAGGTGGGTTTATATTGAGCTAGCGAGTTTGTTAGTTAGTTAAGAATTAATCAGTGCATTTTTCAGATACAGAATCTGAACTTGTGTCGTATTTAGACACACTATGTTTTCTACCTTATTTTGTTAACATAGCATTTTTTTAGTTTTTAGTTGGTATGATTCTAAGCAGTTTTGAATAACCACGTGGCCCAGAAAACCACTGAGTTTGTTTTGTTATGGTCACCTTTGATCCTTTGATGTTGTTTAACAGATATTTTGTACTTTGCCCACAAGAATATTGTTGCAAATTTACACATCGTGTAGAATGAGTAAAAACAATGATGTCCTTCACTGGCTGGCTGAGTAAATATCTAGAGGTTAATGCTTTTACTATGTTGTAAGAGAATGACTAATCACATGGTAATGTGTGTGTGTCACTAAGGGTAAATCCGGCGTTTCTTACTAGTGCAGCTTTGGATTCACATCAGTTCTATTTGGTCAACACAGTAAGCAACTCATTGGAAAAATGTTTTGAGAGAAGAAAGCTGTTGGTTTATTTACCAATCTTGTAGAAGCCGGAAGTCTGGTGTGTACGCAAATATGCATAATGTGTTTTTGCTTTGCAATATAATAACGATTATCTTTTACTTTACAATATAATAATGATTGTGTGTTAATTTACAACACATGGAGCTGTTTATTTAAATATACATTTACTTCACAACTTTCCTTATCAATCCTCTCATTATAAAATAACCTATCTAATAACCATGCGAAAATCAGTAACACCTGATAATACAACATAACAGGTAGGAAGGAGACATTTTAGTGTCATGACCATAGGATTTATTGTGAAGTTTTCTGTCTTTACTAATGAACATATCTCTTTAATTTAAATGAGACTAAAGTTGTGCTTTACTGAAATAATGGCATATTTTCAAAGTAAAAGTACTCTCGACCAATAAGAAGAGTTTTGCCACTAAAGAGAAAGGTGGTTATATAACAAATGTTCAATGCCTAGTTCTGAGTATTGTTGGTATGGCCCTAGATTTCATCAGGTATTTGGACGAGGAGCAACTCTGTGAGTGTTAAACATTCATAGCATAGTTATACCAGAGGTTTAACACAGTGGAGAACAAAGCAGTCTATGGGGCTTATTTCAAAGCACAGAGGAGGGATGTCGCTGAAAACTTGGCTACTTATGCAGATGATCTACAAAATTTGCACAGTAAAGCTTACATTGCAATGGCCTTAGTAAATAGCGAAGATATCCTCATAAACAAATTTGTGGAAGGGCTACCTGGTGAGATGATGCAGCATCAGTCGAGTGTAACGGACTTTCCCATCCTTATTGACACTGTCTATGTCACAATATGGTATGAAGTAGTGCCTTCAAGGCAATTACAGGAGAAGAAGAAGTCTCTAGCAGCAGCAGCAGCAGCGACTTCACCTTGGACATGCCATCCTATCCTGGCAAACACATCAAATCAGGTAGCAGCAGCAGCAGCAGCGACTTCACCTTGGACATGCCATCCTATCCTGGCATACACATCAAATCAGGTTAGAACGCAGTCGAGGAGTAACCAACCACTCATACATCCCGGTTTTGTGATGCATTTACACTGGCATCTAATAAATAGGCAGAAGTATCCTGATATTCCCGTGGGGAATATTCAGCAACACATGCTGCTGATATCCCTCTGGATACTTTCCTAAATAGGAAAAGCAAATCACATATTTTGCCTGTGGAACATTGGACCACTTCTGAGTGAACTGTCCTTGTCTTGTCAAGCAACAAGCTAGAAAAAGCTATCAGTTTTGACTGATGGTAAAATAGATTCAAGAGAGTGAACAGTGTGCAGTGAATTCTGTAACTGTAGTTCTTTGAAACTAGAGGATCCCCAGCAGGGTCTATCTGGCCACCAACTTGTAAGAGTACAATAAACAACTTGCAATGAAAAGTTTGGTAGACAGCTAAGCTTTTTCAAAGCTGGTTGAGTCTTGGTGCATCCTTGTTAGAGTACAAGGGTAAGAGATAGAATTCATGTTTGATAGAGAAGCAGCCAGAAAACTGGTATATCTTTTGGTATATTAGACACTCCAAACAAAACCACTACTCGAGCCTATCAACACGAAATCTGTTCTGCTGAGATAAACTAGATTTGAATGGAGAGGTTATGTTCCAACTTTGTCTAAGAGGGTTCACTTATAGAAGAGAGGTAGTTGTCACAAACCTTAGTTCTGAGATCAGCATTATTGAAGTGTAGTATTGCAGAGCTTATCAGTAAGTTTCGCCTGTGCAACAAATGAACTGATGTTCTGTGATATAGTTATTCAATTTTACCCAAATGGACCCAAGGAACAGTAGACTGCTCGAATGCATGTGGGAGAGGAAGTGTCAGTCCATTAATTTATATGTTATAGCACTCAAAGACCACAAGCAAATATGTTGTACATGTTAATAAACTGCATCTGTACATGACTGATGAATCTCTAGTGAACTGCCTTAGCCTAGTGTGAGAAGAGAAGGTTGTTAGGTCACGTGAAGATGAAGAACTGTCTTATTTCACTATACCCTTTAAGATAAGAAAGAAAGAGCTGGGAGTACACATTTGACTATTTGAGATAAATAAGATCAGGAAATACAGAATATAGAGATGGGCTTTAGCTCTGATGGTCCAATAAACCACTAACAATGGCAATAATATGTCAACTAGTTTTCACTGACATTGCATTCTGACTCTGGAGCTTTGCTATTTAAGGTCAAATTCTGGACTAAATTGTCTACCTTGTTATCAAACAGTGACATTTCCATTTGTGTGTGTGTGTGCGTGTGCCAAAAACGTAAATGATTCAGTTATGACAAGCCACTTTGATGACTGGGATTTTCTGTTTTGCGAGGAACTAGACTTCTCAACTAGGCTAAAGACATGGATCAGGCCCGAACTTTCACCCATGGATGAAGATGTATTGCTAGCCAACGCATTTTAGGTTCGGAACCTCACCAAGTTGACCATTTGGCTGATATTGGAGTCTCTTGAAGTTGGATGCTTCAGTTGAAGCAGAATATAACCCCAGCACTCGCCAGGCAGAATGATGGAGCAGTCAACAGATCAGTCAAAATCCACTAACACACTTGTGTCAGGGGGCCTGTGCTGATTTGTTTATATTTCGCTTTGATTTGTATTCATTAGAGTATGGTTTGGTAAGTTTACTTTTTTATTTGGTGTACTGACTTTATTTACTATGCCAATGTACCTGTATTTAATAAGTTTTGGTTTTGCATTGTCTGTATGTAGAAAAGAGTTACAAACAAGTAAGTTTTATTTTCAATTATCATGGGGAGATAATTAAAATACACTATCTTTCTTAAAAGGCATATTAATTTTAAACTGAATCCAATATTTTTGTAAATCTTCATTGTTAAAGGGCCTATTTTGCTTCTGTGTGTACTTGTGTTCTGTGTTAAAGGTACATTTTTGCAAGTATCTGTGTTAAAGAGTTTTTAATAATAACACTGAAGTCATTGTTCAATGGTATTTTTATGTCTTTGTTAAAGGGTTGTGACGTCTGAGTGACTTTTGAGTGTATTGGGAAATCAGAAAGGATTAACGTAATTCTGGAACAGCGTGAATTTGAAGTTTATCTGAGTTAAATATTTTGTTAATTGTCAACTTGTTACAAGCCAAAGGTAGGGAAGACGAAGATAGGATGAGATCTTATAAAGGGTCTCTTTGGCATTCTGCATATGTTTTGGAACATGAAGCCAAACATTATATGCTATCACTTTGCAGTTCTTAATATTTTTATTCAAATGGTAACAATCTAAGTGCCATTGATGCAAGACCCACCCTTTTCCCCCGGTAGTGCATGTATTATTTCCCCACTGTAGCACCACTTATGTTTTTTATATTATTAATGGCAGAGATTTGGGTAGATCTGGGACAGTAGTGACGCTCCTATCTTCCTGTAGTGCTATAATATTTATTTGAAATGTCTGTTTTGTTATGCATATGTGCAAGTTTCACATAACACGGGGTCGAGATCTTTAACTTGACCTTGTTTTAAGTTACCTTTGTTCCTTTATTGTCCTTAAAGTAGGAAATACACGTTAACATCATGGAGAACATTGCTTAATATTATGTTGTTTTAAAATGTTGACAGCAGTGTCCTCCAGTTGTTGGTTATTCAGGTGATGTCTAGAGATGACAGCTCCATCTATGTTGTAATGTGAATGACTAATCATATGGTTATTGTATGTCACTCGTAGTAAATGTGAAGTTTCGTCA